AAGTGAGGTTGTGGTTGAGTAAGAAAAATGTAAATGAATTTTAGCCACACTAACACTCCAAAGATCAAGGGGAAGCTTATAATTATGAATAGTGTGAACTTTTATTCGCAAGTTTATTTTCATTTTGCTAACTTCTACAATGCTTCTTTCATGGCCCGTTAAATATCAACTATACAATTTTTATTTTATTATTCTACGTGCAAGTCAATTTTGCCCAAATTTTATGGAACGGAGGGAGTATATAAATATAAATAATTTTAAGCATAATTATTGAGGCTGTTAATAAATTATAATTTTATATATTCAATATTGATCTCATATGAAAGACCACAAAATTATGAATTTTGGTATATTTTTTAGAAACATTGGAGCAAAAATGAAAAAGTTATAACACTTTAGATAAATTTAGGTTTTTTATAACTTGGGCCCACCAACTCTATTTCCTTATTCGGTAGCTTTGAAGTAAAAAGTGGTCACATGTCATTTTCAAAGCAAAAGAGGAATTGTGAAAAGATGGACACATAATTAAGAAAGAATGACCTCAATATTACTCCTCAACTTTGCATTGACAAAAATATGACTAAATTTAAAATTGACAAAAATGTGATACGGAGTAAAATGCTTCGCCGTACGTTTGAGCCGCAGCGTCCTCAACATGCCTTATCTGCGACATGTGCATCATCATCATCATCATCATCCGCGAGCAGCATCATCTCCCCATGGAATTAGCATCGCCATCGTCGCCGAAATGCCTACGCCGTCCGCTGTCACTTTTTGCCTTTGTAACTCGTGTTTGCTGCTCACCGCGCCTCAAGCCCTTTGTCGCTCTATCACCCTGCCATCGACGCCGCTGCCCCCGTCATCCTGCACTTCTCCTTTGTTTCTTATCTTTCTTCTCCGTGGGATGACGGACGACGATTGAGCTTCTTCTCAACAAATTGTGGTTCTGTGTGGCGGATATGACTTCCAAATCAGCGGTGTGGCAGCTGGACTTTCAGATCTGCGGCGTGATTTCCAAAGCTAGGGTTCCAGCGGGTAGGTGGGTCTGTAATGAAGATAAATTTAATATATTGATTTATGGATAAATTTAATTTAAAATATTGATTTATGGATAAATTTAATTTAAAATATATTGTATTAATGAAATAAAGAAAATAATTATATGAAAAGTAGTTTAAAATGATTACCTACAGTAACTTCAGTCAATTCAAACATAAAAAAACTTAAATGAAGCTAAACAGAAATAGATCAGATCAGTTTAAAACAAACCAAAAATGTTTACAATTTTTTCATATTTGTCCCGTCTCTTAAAAAGAAAGAATATCATACTATTAAATTGAATTAAATTTAGAAGTTTTATTTATTAGCAGTTTAGCACCCGATGTGGTTATCATTTTCATTTGCTAATTTTTGAATTTTGAATGACATTATAATAAGGAAGGAATAAGGTTTATAACACTTTAATAATGGGAGTATATTGTTATATTTTTATTAGAAGTAAGACTATATTAAAGGCCGGGGTTTCGTTAAGATAGATGACGTATATTAGTAGGCCATGTTTTTATATTTTCTATCTCCGTAATTCGTTTTTTGTAAAGCAAATAACAAAAATGCAAAAGATGAAGCCACGTGACGTAAGTAGAGCAATGCTCTCTATCACTTGTAGGTAGACATGTTACATAATAATTGAGGGTAAAACCATATTTTTAATAGCCTAATACTTTCTTATATATAAATATATACTACCTCTGTTCCAATTTGATGGTCAAATTTTTAATCATTTACTTTTTATATCAATTTTTTATGAAATTTGATTCGGATTATTGTGACTTTGTAAATTTTTTAATGTAGTTTCCGAATATGTAAATTTTATTTGCTACAATTAATCGGAGTGCGAACAAAAATTCATTTGCTTTATCTTCGGTCAAATATCATAAACCGCAACAGGACTATCAAATTGAGACGAATGGAAGATCACAAAAAATTATGAATTTTGATGACCGAGAAAATATATGGACAGTCGCTTTTACTTTTTGAGGGAAATTGCCGTAAATAGGAGTAAAAATGTGTGCGTATTCAAAAATAGGGCTTTCATATTTTTATTATCCAAATATTACGGAGTAGTAATTACTGTCATGTTTTAGCAGTAACAGACTATAAACATGGTAGTACTTTTCAAGTTTGACATAATTACTCATATTTTAGAAACGGAAAATCACACTTTTGGTCCCTCAATTAGTTACCCATATTGAAATGTCAAACTCGTATTTCTAAGATTGTAAATGTCATCACCGGTGAATTTATTGGTAGTTTAGAATCTGAGATTGATTATAAACGGCGGGGATGACATTTACAATACATCTATCAATTCGGGAGTGACATTTACAATATCAGAATCACGGGTCTGACATTTTAATATGGTGACTAATTGAAGAACCAAAAGCAAGATTTTCCCTTTTTTTTGAATATTACGATTTTCCCTTTTAGAAATAAAAACATGAGAATCCTATTTTAGAATTCCAAAATTTTTTAATCTTATTTTAAGGATATCCCTTTTTTGGTAAGGGGATTGTGAATTTGTATTGAGTAATAGAAAACAAAACTAAAAAACTCTAACAATTAAATTATGGTTGTTGAGTTTTGTAGACTTAGAAAACAGAAATAGACAAAGGGAAATAATTTTTAAAAATATGTAGAATATAAAAATAATTTAATAGCATAAAAATATAGAATTTAGCATTCTAAATTTTGCAGTTCCCGAATTTTCAAGTTTGCAAATGTTATCCCTCAATTGTCTAAATTGTTGTAAATGTGGTACTTTGAAGAATTGAGAGTGACATTTATAATGTGGGCAAGGACCACATTTACGGGTGACAGATACACACTTGAAAATACGGGAACTACATTTCAATATGGTCACTATTTGAGAGACTGAAAGTGTGTTTCTCTCTATCTGAAATGAAACGATTGATAGCTAACAATATTATATACCAAGACGTCATATAATATGATATGTGGTATAAATTTTGATCTCGTGCGTTGAATTAGGTAAAAATAATAAAAAGTAAGCTTAGAAATACTTTTATGATTGATTTGGCTGAATTTACCTAGAAGATCTTTTTAGCTATTTTTCATTCATTTTTTTCTTTATTCTTCTAATAAAATATAAGGAAAATTGAAAATAACAATCCCAGCTATTTTTCACTAATTTTTCTTTATTCTTCTAATAAATATATTATAGACATAATTATTTTCATAATTCAGCAGAATCAATCAATCCAACCACTTAACCCTGAACTTCATAGATTTCAGAAAATTAATTAAGTCAATTTTTGTGTTCTCAAATAGGTTATAAATTGTGGCAGCTGAATTTTTTAGAATAAGGAAAACAAAATTGCAGACTCGTGAAGTAGTAATATATGGAATATGATTGATTTGATTCTTCAAAATTATTAGGAAAAAATAGTAAACTTAAACAAAACTAAATACTTGGTACATGCGAACTACTAAACTACTTCCCTATTTTTGCTCCGCATAATGATTTGTACTTTACGTGAATGAATTGAATTGAATTGAATGAGATAGATCCACGTGGCAGGAGCATAGCAATGGAGTGAAATTTGGAAAGATAGACACGTGTGAGGTTTTGAGGGTAAAATGGTATTTATATGAGCTATCTCCTTTTTTATATATAAATAGAATTCGAGTTTTTAGTGTTAATTGAGTACACTCGTTAGATTAACACGTTAATACGACTGAGTTGACTAACAGAATGCTAGTATGTCGACTTTTTGAAGGTTAACGCCAGCCCCCAGTCACCTGATCAACTTCTCCTTGGTCGACGTCAGTCCCCCGCAAGTCGACTTCTCCTTGGCCGACGCCCCCGCAGGTTGACCTCCGAAGGTAAATTTTTCCTTTTTTGTCGACTTCGTGAAGGTCGGCACCATAACATTGGTCCATTACCCCTTCTTACTCGACATTCTGTTAGCCAACTCCGCTGTATTAACGTGTTAATCTAACAAATGTACTCAATTAACACTAAAATCCCGAATTTGTGTACTTAAAAAGATCAAATGCAATATAATGTACTCTTTACTCCATCTCGTACAAGTTGGTGTACTGAATTGACCCTTTCAATATAAAAAATGTTCTTATTTGCTAAGAGTAACCAATGTTCTAAAAGGCGTAAGGCGTGCCGAGGCGGCAAGGTCAAGCCTTAAGCCTTTGGAGCCTAGGCGGGTTTAGGCGGGATTTAGGCGTGATAAAGCGTTTTGATTTTTTATCCTTTATTTTAGTTTTCCTAGAGTTTTTATAAATATTTAAATTTAATATTAAAATAAAGATATGCAAAAACATCATAAAAGTTAAACATAAGTAACTTAAAAATAAAGTTACCACTATAGTCACTTTCTCTTAAAAATTACATTTTTATAATCAATCACTGTTGTAGTTATAAATATAAAATCATTTCTTCTTCTTATTATCATTATTATTTAGGATAATAATATATTATCAAACAAATTTCAATTTAATAACAAATGGACTAGTTGGTTTGCTCACTTGCTGGATGTACGAAGTACTCTGTATAACATTTCTCCCACACCGGAGGGCAGCTGATCTATTCTATAACATTTTTGTATAAACTATGCTTCTCCCACACAGCTGCTTACTCAAGGCATTCAGTTTTCCCACACCGGAGGGGAGATGAACTACTCAATAACATATCTCTATAAATTAGGCTTCTCCCACAAGGTTGTTTTGATAAGGCACTCGTGGGCTTTTCGACCAAATATTGGATTAAACGGCCCAAATCGAGACCTTGGCTTAGTCGGCCGCCTTTTGGCACGCATAATCGGTGAGCGAGGCGTTTGAGAGACGCGTTGCGCCTATTCTCGCCTAGGCGGCGCTTTTCGCCGCCTTTTAGAACACTGAGAGTAACATACTAACATCTTGTTAATATTTTTTTTGGACAAGAACACCTTGTTGATATTAGGCGCCAATTAACCGCTACGGCGCGCGAAAACCTACCATCGACCATACTAGTCTAATATAAGTACAAAAAAGTGATAAAACGCATCCCGTCATCCCCAATGTGAGAACGTCTATGCCTCTGGTCCGGCGAGTTGAAGAGTGAGCGCACCGCAATAACTGTGCTCCAAGACTCCGTCTTTATGGGAAACTTATCAGGCTTTCGGTCCCCTCAATTTTCTGAGGTAAAGTTTTCGCCTTCTTCATTGATCGAAAGTGTCCGGATATCAACGAAAAGTGCCACCAATCGCGAAAAAACACTTGATTATAAAAAATCTAAAGCTTTGTTTATCAGGCAAGAAAACTTGATGGTTAGGATTTGAGTCGTGATAGAATTCGCGGGCACGCCCATCACTTTAATTAGAGGGACTCTAAGTAAGTCTCTAACACTCTGTGAAACAGGATTGTGATTTTTGGAGATTAGAAGTGAATGGAGGGGGGCGACCAGTGTGTATATGAATTGACCATCAAAAAACAAATGGAAAGAGGAATTAAAGGAGGAATTTGGGTGCAGCTGATTATTATGTGATTTTGTTGTGCAGGATGGGGCTAGGCCACCTTGGTGGCTTCAGCAAGAAGGCTATGAAGCCGAAACGATTGTTCAGGGGCTCAATCAAGAGCAATCTCCTCCCCAGCTATGTGTTGAGGTAACACTCTGGACCATTTAATTTGTTAAATGAGCATGTGCGTTTGTTAAATCAATTTGCAACGTAAACTTATTCTTCCACTGAGGTCTGATTCCCAAACCAAGGCAGCAATATTCCAACTGAAGGATCTTTAAAAAATTTGTCAAACATTATCGGTATAGGTAATCATATGGCAAGATTTCCAAAAAGCCCTTTATTACATGAAGTCTATTTCTCTAGGGGGGAAACATGTGGCATTATTCACCTTTTGAACAAAATCTCAGTATTTGAACAAAATCATAGCAGATACTATAGGATGTATGTGTGGCTGAATGATAGAGAACAAATACTTTGAGCTGTGGAATCTCTTTGGCAACTTGGTGACATGCAAATGGATATGCAAGTATGCTACAATAGAACACACACACCTCTACTCATTTAAGCATGATAACATTTAATGTAATTTTCTAAAACCAAGAATGTTGTACGGAAGATAAGAAAACATCAGTTAGTTATAGTGATTACCTAGAATAAAAAAAATAATAATCTCAAATCCAAGGGATGTATGATTGAATTTTTTTAGAAGGAAAACCCTCTCATGATCCTGGCCTTGGAATTGTATCCCACTATTCCTTTGTAAGGTGTGGCAAAGAGCACTAAGCTTAAAATAATGCCAGTATGATTTTCTTGTGCATAAATTCTTACACTGACTATTTCTAAACTATAAAGTAAATTGCTATGAATTTCACATAACTGACCCTAACATAGTCTTCATTAAGGAAACAGCAACAATGTTTGAAAACCTACCAGACGGGAACTAGCGGTACATAACTTGTCACATAATAAATCTATAGAAAGAGCATGTATTGAGTAAGTGCTGAAGAGAAAGTGTTTAGTATGAAGGACATGGATAACTATCTAGCTATAATCTACTTCTATTATTAGTGGATGATGGGAAACCTATGCTGATAATCTTGCTAAGCTGTTAAGAAATGTGTCAATCCTGGAGCTCTCGAAATGAGACCATGATGTCCCTAGATGACCCTACAGTAGCAGATGTATCCCCTAGCTTACTACAGAGACTGGACGCCTGTATACACTATGCTACCCAGGCAGTCATCTCTGCACTCGTAGACCAAAGTCCAGCCCTGCAACATCACTGATTCAAGCCCATGCACACCATCAACAAAATTGTACTTTGCAGTATAAAATTATGTTACGGATGCATTTTATGGATCTAGCAGGAGATTTAATTAGAATAGTTTAATTAGAAGGGGGAAATTATCCTGATGCTATTTTTTATATTTTGTTTATTACTTCCTATTAGGAATAGAAGTATTAGAGGTTACAATTTCTATTAGATTAGAAGTCCTATTAGTAATAGAAGTATTTAGAGGTTACAGTTTTAGTTAGACTAGAACTCTATCATGTAAAGGCAGGATGCCTATTTATATTCCTTTTTCAGCCTTAATAAAATATCGATCATTAGAAGAATTAATCCCCAGAGAGAAGTCACGGACTTCCCCCTTCGCTCTTACTGCGCTCTTCCAGCCACGGGCAAGAAGAGGAGTAACCCTAGCAGAGGCGGACCCACTAAGAGTCCCACGGGGTCTCGGGACCCCGTGCACCTCGAAAAAAATACCTATATATATTATATATACATTATATAAAATTAATTATTTAATGTATATTAACACAAAAAATGACCTTAGAAGCGAAAGAACGAATCAGTCCAACGGTGATGGGTACTTATTCCAAACATGAGGTCGCGGGTTCAAAACCTGACCTTTTACTTTTATTCCTTTTTCAGTGCTGGGATTAAACAATGTATACAAATTTCCATCAAAAACTTCAACTTGGTTCATTTAGCTCATTGGTTGAGTATGTCTTTCTTTGTCCCAACAACTAGAGTTCGAATCCCAACTCCATTTTTCTTAAATTTTGCAACTTTTCTCCAATTTACTCCCATTTTCTTTGAAGGAAATTTCACTTTTATTATCCTCTAACTTGAACTTTTATTTTCTTCATTTCTTCACGCTAAATGTATCTAAATAACATCAAATGTACCAAGAAATACAAAATACACGCATAGGACTGCACTAATACAAATTAACGACAAATAATAAAAATATGTACAAAAGTACAACTTTAATAACTAAAATTATCAACAAACTAGGCCTAAAAAGTGTTTAAAATATAAGCACATCAGTCATCCAGTTTTTTTTCTCTGCTGCTTTTTTTTGCATATCTTTTTTTAATGTTAGATTAAATTAATAAATTCGTGTTCTTATAAATGTTATTTTCAATTTTATACTCCCTCCGTTCCTATTATAACTTCCAAATAGGTTTGGCACACAGTTTAAGATAGTGAGTATTGTGTGGTGAAGAGTTGTGCAAAGGAGAGAGAAAGTGGACGAAAAAGGAAAGTTGGAAGTTATAATAGGAACGAAGGGAGTACGATTTAGGATGAAAAGATATTTTGATGTTGTACCCAAATTTAAAGAAACCTAGAGTACCGGGAATAGTTCAGGTGTTAATTCAAATGATTCGTCATTAGTAAATGAAGAATTGGATCAAATTTTTATTAGTTTTATACTTGTATTAAATAGAGATTAGAGATATAAAAGGGTAGACCCCGTGGCTCCGACTTTCTGGGTCCGCCACTGAACCCTAGCAGGCAGGTTATCACCTCAACCGGGTACCCTGCTACCCCAAGACGTCCCTGGACTCGTTCTCAGTCACAGAACCCTAACAATTTGGTATCAGAGCTGTCACGATCCATGGCGCCACAGAATGATGATTTAACCACCATGATGAAGGAGTTTATGGAGGCTATGACTGCTAGGGTAACTGCCATAGAAGGGCAGATTGGCGCTCTATCTCTGACAGTCCAAAAACGGGATTCCAAATCAACAGAAACACATGAAGAGCAACCCGATAACAACCTGATATCTCACAACACCTCAAACCCCTGGAAACCACAGTATGCGAAGATGGAATTTCCTGTGTTTGATGGCACCTACGACCCTACCAGTTGGTTGAAAAGGTGCAAAAAAATTCTTCTTGAACCAAGAAACTCCTAGTGTTGCAAAGATGAATATGGTCTCATTCCACTTGATAGATGATGCACAACTGTGGTTCGATCAGATGATAGAGGAAGAAGGAGAAGTCAATTGGGAGAGGTTTAAAGATCTTTGTCTGGAGCGCTTTGGGCCCCCTTTGAGTTCTAACCCGATTGGAGATCTGAAACTTCTGATGCAGGTCGGATCAGTTGATGAATATTGTGCTCAATTTCAGAAGGCCTTAGCAAGAACTTCACAAATACAGTCCCCCCATCAGATTGCTTTGTTTGTCGCAGGTCTCCATCCCCACTTACGGGCTGATGTGGAGATAGCAAAACCAGGCAACCTGGGTTACGCCATGAACCTTGCACGGACATTGGAAGCACGGAAAACACTGACGCTTGCACTTGTAAAAGTCTCGGGTCCTACAACAAATATGAAACAACACAACAACCCGTCACAGCTTAGACAAGCGCTTGTGACAACAAAGGCAGGAAATCCTATTGTTAAGCGACTCACGAAGGATGAAATGGCAGAAAGACGAGCAAAACGGCTATGTTATAATTGTGATGAACAGTGGATGATGAATCACCGATGCAAAAAACTTTTCTTGATCGAGATAGAAGATGAGCAGGAAGAAGATGATGGCTTCCCAGACTTGGAGTTGTCTGCCAACGCTATAAGTGGAACTATTAGTTCAATGGCAAGGCAGCACACCAGACAAGGCCACTTGGGAACCGTTTGACACTCTTATCACTGCTTATCCAGGATATGAGCTTGGGGACAAGCTCAATTTCGAGGGAGGGAGTGATGTTACGGATGCATTTTATGGATCTAGCAGGAGATTTAATTATAACAGTTTAATTAGAAGAGGGAAATTATCCTGATGCTATTTTTTATATTTTATTTATTACTTCCTATTAGGAATAGAAGTATTAGAGGTTACAATTTCTATTAGATTAGAAGTCCTATTAGTAATAGAAGTATTTAGAGGTTACCGTTTTAGTTAGACTAGAACTCTATCATGTAAAGGCAGGATGCCTATTTATATTCCTTTTTCAGCCTTAATAAAATATCGTTCATTAGAAGAATTAATCCCCAGAGAGAAGTCACAGACTTCCCCCTTCCCCCTGCGCTCTTACTGCGCTCTTCCAGCCACGGGCAAAAAGAGGAGTAATCCTAGCAGGCAGGTTATCTCCTCAACCGGGTACCCTGCTACCCCAAGAGTCCAAGACGTCCCTGGACTCGTTCTCAGTCACAGAACCCTAACAAATTATTAGTATCATTCAATGTTCTAAAAGTTGCCAGGCGCTAGTCGGGTGGTGACTGGCCGCCTAGCGCCTAGCCTGCCTAGGCGCCGACTAGGGCGCCTAGATATCTTCTTTATTTTTTTTCAGTTCCTATGAATTTTAACAACATTGTCTCATACTTTTATAGTATTTTGAGTTTTGACAATAGAAAGAACTCATATAATCATTAAGTGTTATGCTTTTTGTAGTAAAATTATCAATTATAAAATAATTAAAAGATAATTAAGAGATTTGTGCATTTTAATCTCTAAAAATGTTCATATACATTCTAAAAAGCTTATACACATTTAAAATTTATTTTTGTTGTAGGAATACTATAGTGAATTTTATAGGAATAGCAGGCTTATTGATCAAACGTTGTTTAAAGATAAAATGGAAAAAATAAGTTGGGTCGGTAACAAATTTATTTCGGGCCGCCTAGCCACCACCTAGGCCGCTTAACCACCGTCTAGCCCGCCTAGCCTGCCTAGCCCGCCTAGTCGGCTGACCGATTTTTCCCACCTATTACCACGAAATCAGGCGGCCACTGCCTAGCGCCTAGGCCGATTTTTAGAACCATGTCATTAATTGCTGTGATGTGAAACCTGTTTTTATGTATTTATTACAGTTTTTGTAGATTGAACCTAACAATGCAGTACGACTGCAGCCTATACCCCATAGGTTCATCTAATCACCATTCACCACTTGATAATTTCACGTAATTTTTTATGATTACATGCAAAAGCTAGTCGTCATTGGATTGATAACTTTACATAATATATTATGAATGCATACTTATATTTCTGATTCAATTTAAAATGAGATCTTTTCAATCTAAAAAGAGATCTTTTGTTCCCTCAATGATATGGAAATGCATGTACTAGCTAGTAGCTACTGATGTCTTTCTACCTCTACGCTGTACAGGAATGTTGCAACTGTGAGAAACATATTTGCAGCGTCAGTACTGATAAATTTCTAGGGGAGGACGGAAGATATAACAATTGGCATTTGTATTTATCAGCAGATGATAGTTCTCTGTTCACTGTCACCCCATGTAATGATAATGTGAGTTTGTACTTGCCATATTGACAAAGTCATCATGAATTGCATTAAGCACATTGCATCATTGTCACTTTATTTTATGCTGACGGTGGATTCTTATTTCATGATATTTGTTTTTTCTGTGTAATTGTATTTGAATAAGTAATTTTTTATTTTTAATTGGTCCTATATATTTCATCATATCATCTCCCAAACCCATTATAATGAGGAATATTACTCCTCATGTCAGAGAAGTTATTTATAATAAGGAACTGACCATCTATCTATTTATTTATTAGAGAAGTTATGTGAGATACTTATTTATAACTATTACGTCTCGCATGTCAATATCAGTTTTTAATTGAAAAGCAATAGTTATCACCTGGAAAAGTATTAGTCGTTTGCTTATTGTCTCAAAATTATTACTCCCTCCGTTCCACAAAATTTTGCCAACTTTCCTTATTTAGACGTCCCAAAATATTTTGTCATTTCCATTTAAAGTATCAAATATGTGGTTAAAGTTATTTCTCTCGTCTATGCACAAATATCAAGCACACATTTTATACTCTAGTATTCTATGTGCAAGTCAAACTTGGCCAGGTTTTGTGGGACGGAAGAAGTATTTTCTATCTTATTGTGGCACAAATAACACTGCTTAATTGAATAATCATGTGCAATTCTTTTCTGAAGGTGCCATTTCATCTTCAGCTATCACTCGATTGTGATCATGAGGGAATAAAAAGTCCACCTTTTGATACATTCCAGGCGGAGAGGAATGAATTATATTGTATTCAACCTGAAATTTTAGGAGAACCAGAAGTTAAGGTTAAAGAATTAAATGCGGACCAAAACATTGATGCAATTAACTGCTCTTTAGTTCTTGAATGTCGAAAAACGGATAAAGATAAGATCCTGGAGGAGCTTGAACGAAAACCCAGCTTGTCAGACGTTGAGCAAATGCATGAGGCAATTGAAACTGATCAACTAATTAAGGTCAATAATGTAATGAACTGTTCTTTAGATCCTGAATGTGACACAACACCTAAAGGTAAGTGCTTGAAGGGTCTTGAAGAAGATGTCAGATTATTAGAAATTGAGCAAACAGATGAAGCAGTTGAGCTATCCATTTCAGCTTCTGAAGCACTAGTAATTCATGAAGTTCTGAGAACTCTATCCTTAAAATTGCCAGTTGCTGCTGTGTTAGAGACTGCACTTCAGGTGAAACAAGCTCGCTTAGAAGCCTGGAAAGAGTCACGTGAGACCTGCTACAATTGGCTATCAGAGGAAACTAGTGAAACTGGTTTTCAATCAGAATCAGAAGATATAGATATGGAAGATGCTCATCATGATGTCGACACATTTACTTCTCAACATGATCATTTACTAGGTGATAAGTTAAGTGTTTCTCAAGTAAAAGACACTTTTGACTCGGGAAATTGTGGAGATCAGAGAAAATCAGAACAGGTTGAGTTTCAGCTACCTGATACTAACCTCTGTCCACATAGTGATGATTATTTACTCCACGGGTTGGAGGATGTTCCTGAAGATGATCTTCAGTTTAAACTAAACAAGGTAATTGAATCATCTGACAGTGACCGACAAAATAAAGTTATCAAGAATTCATCTGTGGGGCTAAATTCCACCTACATATCACTTCACACCAATGTCATGTTTCATCTTTTTGGGCAAGTAAATACTCTAGTTTTAGCTGCATTAGACATTGAGTTAATGGTGGTTTTGATCAAGATTAACCCTATAGGATATTCACTACTCAATCTACTGAACCTTCTCAGGATCAACAACTGCAATTCTTCATCTGATAATGGAGTTTAAATGACAGTATTTTTCATTGAAGAAGTTATAGTCAACATTTTGATTTTGTGTTTGTTTTCATTTTACTTCATGATGATATTTGTCACCAGGGATCATCAATGGGTCAGTGTGGGCCACACCAGCCAAATAAAGGGTTTTGGTTGGGCTCACACATAAATTGTTTGATGGACTGGGTTGAGCTTATGTAGCAAGTTGATGATCCAAACCAATCCATTAACATGGCTTTAATGGGCTGTGTTGGCATATTCTATGACCCACTATAAGGGTTTGGACTCAATCAAGCTCATGCCTTAGAAATACTCAACCACTTGCACTGAATAAGGCCTCAAAACTATAGAAGTGGAAGAGTAAGCAAATCACGAGCCATATGATAAAGAATATTACTCCGTTTTGTGTACCAAGTGGGTTTGGTTTGGCTTTCCAAACAACCCCAGTTGGCTAGTTGAAACCTCACTAAAGGCACCAAGCCCCCGGGCCTGTTGCTGGATATTTCATTTTGTGATGTTGTGACTGAATCACTTCCAGCCAAACTGTATGAGAGAACTCCTGATCAATATCCCATGGTTTAACTAATCCATCAATGTTTTAGGGAAATGACAGATGGGGGCTTTCAGGTTTGGGGAGCAAAACATTTTAAAGAATATTATACTGTATTTGACGAGTACTCTACCATGTCAAATCGTACATGGTGTAAAATGAGCTTGAGATCTGGGCTTTGTTGGGGCCTATTAGGTCAAATAAGGGTAGACCTTCATGGGCCAGGCCTGTAGGAATGGCTCGTTTTCAGTTACATAAGCCTCAAACCATCCCTTCAAATAGTGGCCTACTGGCCTGGCATCTATATAGCCGAGCAAAGCTTTTGGACTATGGGATGGGCAGGTCCTACTGGGCCATAAGCTAGCTGGTCAAATGATGATCCCTAAATGTCATGGCCAACATGAAATTACAATTAGTACTTCTATGATCATGAACCAAATGATAGCTAACCTCAATAATTTGAGGTTACTGTTGTTTGAATGTTGTAACGTGTATAGCTAATGCCACTGTTTCCAACAGACAGGAGATTATATTTCTGAGGAAGATTTTTCATTGCAACCAACATGTGAGTCTCCTCCTGAGATGCCTTGTGAAGTTGATGGTAATGCTGCAATATTTGAGCTTAGTATTTTCTTCAGCATCCTTTAGTTGGCATAATTCTTTCTTCCTTTCTCTGATTAGGACAACATTATGGAGTATCGGGTAGAGTGCCTAACAGATTTCAGAGTCGTTGGTTTGGAGGTTGGTCAGGCAATGTAAGAGCTACATTTAAAAGAAATTACCTTTGTGATCCCTTCAACCCTCTTCCACCAAGCCTCCCTGTGTTTCATGTTATGTACAACAAGGATGTCATATTTCATATTTTCATTCTAAGATCATTCATTTGAAGACTAAGAACCATGGTTACATTGTATTCTGCATGATATTTCCATGATCTATTTATTTCTTGCCTTGGCTTTTAAAGAAGTTGCCCTAAATAGAAAGCAATGTGAAATTCCAAAACAAGAGTACTATGTTTTTACGCCTAAATAAGAGTAATTACTATTATGCTCAGAAAATACTATCAATTATAACATTAAAATTACCACATTAATGCTTGGTCATGCCAAAATATGGAAGTGAGATTTAAGGATGACAAAAATTTACTCATATTTAGGGGAAAACATAGTATCCCTATTTTGGAATTTCACATTATTTTTACTCCGATGTTGGGAAACTTCCGTACCTTATATGATAACTAGATCTTGATTGTGTTGCATTTTGAATACGTATGGAATTATTGTTCCTCTTTTCCTATTTGTATATAGAACTCAAAACTTTAATTGCATGTAAATTACAACACACTTGTTTAAATACTAATAAAAGATGCAATTGCTTGACAAGTTGGAAAACGTTTTTAAATTTTGTATGAGTTAATACATAAATTAAAATTTTGAAAATATTGGTCACTTATTTGGATGCATTTCTGGCAATTCTTTAGGGGCGCAGATATGCAGCAGTCCTTCAGCAACCAGAAACACATTATACTTCTACTTTCTAGTTTTTTTCAAGTCTAGATTAGTGGTGTGCATGTTCATGATAAAATATTGGGTTGTCTGCTTGTTTTAATCGATTTTCCTCATTTATTTAATTATTTAATTATTTATACATGTATACATTTATTGTTTATTTATTTATTTATTTATTTTGAAGTTATTCATCCACTTTCCAGGATACATGCATCTCCATTCCACTGAGACCCAATCATATTCAAACCAAGACCCATTTTATTGGAGAGACAAGCTATTTCTCAGAATCAGCAAATACTGTTCCAGATGAAAACTCCTTTGTAGGACCCAAAGATGACAAAGCAGCAAACTTGGCTTCTCAATCAACGATACCTTCTGAAGGCATTGATATGAATTACAGGAATAACCAAGTAGTCCAAGTACTTCTCTCCCAGGATGTCTGTAGATATCCAAGTCCATCCCCTCTTTATCCACATTGCTCATTTGTTCCCTGCACCATTTCATCCCAAAATGTGCCTTGTCATTCAGCCTTACGTGGTGAGCAAGACAATAAGGAAAAATTCATCATTCATAGTAATGAATGTATCGAAAACTTGCACAGTAACTCGAATATGGAAAACAAGGTTTTTCAGGAACAAGTTTCCATTTCAGAGGCTAGCTGTGATAGACAAGAGCATTATGTTCATAAAAAAAAGATTGAAGGAAGTCAAACTATATCAGCGATAGCACCTAATCTGGAACTCTTGAAGCTACAGCTTATACATGAAAACCAAGATATTGTTTCATTAGGAACAAGAAAGCGTGTCGGGTTTGCAGAAAAAGAAGCGAAGATTTCACACAAAGAAAAACGAAAAAAGCAACAGATAATGTCAAATACTTGTAAGTACTTAATATTTGTTTTAGATTTTAAGAGCAAAACATAAAAAGGAAGCATATTTCTTCGCTTATATTATAAACACCCGGGGTTCAATAATAAAAAGTCAACTTAATATGAGCATTCCAGAATTTTATATGTTGGTTTATTATTATTTATGTACACAGTGCAGAACAAGTACTTCAACAGTCCAGTCAAAACTTGGCCGGGTTTGATAAATGGACCAAATTGACCTCAAACAGGCTACCCAAACTATGGGTGACAGACAAAGAAAGAAACAATAATCAAACCAGACTTTGAGACCCTAATAAGACTTCAAATTCCATACTAAAGGTCAATTAAACCTAGAAGTATATGTTAATTTATCACTTATATTTAAATGATGCGTGAACTTCGCCATGAGACCATTTTTTGGCATCATGCCAGTCCCAAACCAGGGTAAAGGAGGAGGGTGTTGTGGTAGGTGTGTGACGGTCAACAATATAACTTAGTCACATCATATGGCATGAACCCAAATATGAGCATCACTATTTAACTCCAATTTCACATGTCGATTCATGTTAGCTGACCCCAAATTCTCTTGGGTCTAATGCTTGGATGTTGTATAGAAGAGTCTAGACAAAGAAAATTCTAGACAACAGTTACAAAATTAATTAGAGTTATCAGTTACAAATATTTGTATTTAATATTATAATTAGTAGCCTACCTTATTGGTCCCTAGAATATTGTATAAATAGCAATTCATCTCATGGAATAAATCAAGTTCTTCAGTCTCAATTCTTTCTTATTCTAAAATCCTTTATGTTGTAGTATTTAACTGATGTGTGACAAATATAAAATATATGTGCAGGCAATACTATAAGAGCTTCCAAATGTTTGAGGCTTTCAAGTTCACATTTTGAGTCAAGAGCTCAAAATCGTAAAGGGGATTTATCTAATTGTCAAAGCAAGTTTGTGAAAAAATCATTGTTCCAATCTATGAAGTTCTTGCTTACTGGGTTCTCAAAGAAAAACTTGAACAGAATTGAAGGCCTCATAAGGACATTTGGTGGAACAGTGCTCTCTGATATCCCTTCCGAAAATCAGAGAAAGCGGAGCTCTAGACATAGATATCAGACACTTCCTGTTGTTTTGTGTCCAAAGAAGGTATGTCATGGTGAAGTGAATTTTCATCCCTACTTGTCACTTTGTCCACAATAGCTAAAAATGGGTCATCAAAATAATGAATATTCGGAGGTCGTGACAGAATATATAGATGCAATTATATCCCTGACAACCGCTATATAGAAGTTCTAGCTTGTGTTCAAGCCATACCCTACTGTATTACAAATTTACATTTTTTATCCAACCGTAATGTGCAGTGTGTTGTAAGAGTATGTTGATATGGTATAACACTCTAACCTCTAAATTTGATTTGAATCGCTCCACTTCTAACATACCGTATTTTGTTGCAATTATGAATATGGAATTAATTTTAGATGATCTTTTAAAATTGTCCCAGCTACAAACAATGAAGTTCTTATATGGGTGTGCAGTTGGTTCCTTGATGGTCAAAGCTAAATGGCTCATTGACTCAATTGCAGCAAACTCCCTCTTACCACCTGAACAGTATGTCGATAAACATATTAATATATGTTTGATATTTCCATGAACTTTTTATTTAGTCCATAGCTTTCATAATGATCATTATTATTGTTTTTGAGTTTGTGCTGAAAACACTGTGTTTGCACTTTTGCAGCAAAACCATGAATTCATGGAAACTCTAGTAGAAGTTAGGACTCCTAAGGGAATGTTTGGATGTCGTAAAATGTTAGGTAAAGGAAAGAAAATGTTAGGGAATGTTACTTTCTTTTGTTTGGATCTACTTCAGAAAATGCAAATGAAATTGAAGCACGATTGAATTATTATTTTTACATATGCTTAAATTTCTCAGTATTTAATTAATACATTTGAATAATTAAATAAATAAAAATGAATTTGAATTTATTGAGTTTGAACCAATGTTATATTTTCCTCAAAGTTTTCTTTCCTTCAAAACTTCTGCTATATTTTGCTGCCTATTTTCTTTCCCTGGCATTTTTCACGTTCCAGTCCAAACAGACCCTATGGGTTTAGCTGAAATATTCAATCCATTGAAGGTAAAAAATGAAATGATAAGGGACTTTAGATTTATTACCGTGTGGCTTGTTTGAACAAAAGCCAGTTACTTGAATTTATCAAACTAGTCCTTTTTATCCAGTCAAACATGATAACTTCGTTTTTGATAAAGAGAAATTTATGTTTCTTTTCCTATATGATACTCACTGATGTTACTTCTCTTCATGACAATTTCCATTGGGTATTCAAATTTAAGATAAATTAATGTTGATTTTACTGGCAACGTCCTTCCACATTATTAGAAAGATAGCATAGATTGAAAAGGAAGAACAGAATTCTTATTGATCAAGCAAGGCAGTACATCTATTTATAATACAGAAGCTTAACAAACTATAACAGACTATAGCAGCTCTAACTAACTAACTGTAATAGCTAGAAAGTTCTAAACTGATTATAATATGTATGTGTAACGGGTTTACAATATTCCTAACACACATGAATATAAATAAACTGTTTGTGTTGGAACTAGAGTTTATGCATAGAAACTGCATTCTTAATGGCTTTGATAATCGTCATATGAACTTTTTACCAGATTTATGCTACAACTTTAGTATTTTTGTTCTCAAGTAGTTATCAGTAAGAGTTCTCTTTGATAAAATGAAATTATCAAATTAATGAGTAGTTAGTTATTCGTCTAAGAAGAGTTCCGCTCGGAAGTTGTCTAGCTTTGTCAAAGTACTATATTTCCTAGGAATTTTACTCTTTTTGCTATAGCAGTTCCTGCCACCTGCATTTGTTCACTGAATTAATGATCTGATACTAATTTGTTTAGATACATGGTTCTACAAAAATCTGTTGGCGGGCCTTCACAAACAGAAATTCCTCTGAAAGGAAGTAGAAACTCCATCTTTGATGGTGTTGGCATAATGCTTCATGGTGCAAAAAGAATTTGCTCTAGGATGGCAAGAATAATCGAGGTAGTGCCCTGCCTGGTTCATACTTATTTGAGAGATGATTTTCGTGTGCATGTAAATAGACCCCCCCCCCCCACACCTACTGTAGGTGGGAGCCTTTGCTATGGTAATGTTGTTGTTGTATGGAGTATAAATACGAGTCATGTCGATGTCCCTGGACCACCTTTTATTTACTCTAAGAGTTCATTGACTCCATAGATTCCAATATTGAGATGTATCTAATAGAGAGAATATATTCTTCTTACTAAAGAGCTTTGGTGTTCGTAGCATTGTCTATTTTTCTTATTAATATGTTCACATCAAAATTTTCACTGTGTGAAACACTGGAACATATTAGTTTTTTCTTCAGTTTTCATTAATTGTGCTGCAAAAGCTGCAAGCTTATATTATACAGATGTTTTTATTTTATGAATCAAAAGATGGCCATAACAAATTGGAACTTTTCTAATTACATCATTGGCAATTGCTAAGCATGGTGGTGGAAGAGTTTTCAAGACACTCCAGAAGTTGGTGTTAAGTCTTGATGCTGCAAAGGTTACTGTTGGGTTTGTTGTGATTGAAGCCGGTAGCTGGGCTTCAAGACACCTGAAGCAATGCGCTTTAGACAAGAAAATACCTATTATGGTCAGTAAATTCATTATTTCTCTCTACCCGTCCCAAAAAAGTCATGTTAAAAAATTGTCCCATGAAAAAAGTCCATTTTGATCAAGTGAAACCAAATTTTCCATGCAATATGTAAAAAAAATACCAAAAAAGTATATTGTTTATGAAACAAAACGATTTAAAGAATATAAATATGATTTACAATTTATGACTGTCATACTCTACAAAAATTTATTATAACTTCTTCTTTGATCAAACATATGACTCTTTTTCTGAAAGAGGTAGTATTACTTATGTTTATAAAAGTGAATGTCAGCCTACTGATAATGATGAACTCATGAACGTATTAATGATGCAGTCAGTTCAGTGGATAGTAAATAGTTTACATGCACAGAAGCTTCTTCCCTTCATAGACAAGAAAGATACTTTCTCCCCTCCTCTCATCAAGCTTCCAGATGCTTGTGATTCCGTTGGATGCAGTCAAGAAATTTAAGCTTGCTCATTGCAAAGGCTCTCTCATGTACATCTTCATCTGTAAGAACTTTATTGGGTAGTGTTTATTGGCAGATATTTTAATTAATTTAGCATGTCACAAGTGTCGCATCTGGCACCATCTCTTAAACCCTTCTGAGCTGTTTACTTTCCAATTTTCCAATTTTCCAATTTAAACCCTAAAACAGTTAGTATGAGTGTCGTTGGAAGATGAAAATGAATAACATAGAAAGCAAGAGGAAGGTGGATCTTGACCTAATCAAGACCGAGGAAGTAATTCCGAAGTTATCAATGATATTATTAATGAATAAAACCCCGCTATAATGCTATTTTTACTAGCTCCTAGAATCTTTATGAGCCACTATATAGCTATTAGGAATGTATACAAAAATAGAATATCAAGACTAATTGGAAAATAATATGAACACTTATTGGAAAACTGGAATTATATAATTATGTAATGACTTTTGACATATCAGCTACTAATAAACACACTTCATGACAGTCGAATTCATTTATTACATGGAAAAAATATATTTCCAGATGATTTTTTGCATTTAACGTAACGGGATATCTGATCCTGAACTCAGTACTGGATTGGAATGTGAGGTACCATTCCGGTGCATAAAAAACTTGATATACCAAAATGATAAACCAAAATAGTTATGACACCATATGAGCATTTTAGCTTCTAAAACTCTTCAGAACCTTTGCATTTCTGCAGGATTATATAGCTATGATGCTAAGTTGCTAGCACTCGTGTATCAAACATGACAAAGATGCCCACACTCCAGGAGAAGATATGATTGACAGATTGAGAAGTCAGCTATAAAACGTTGTAGAGTGGGATGCTTTCAAGGAAGCTGTTTGGATCAAGATGTTAACAATTGTGAGTTGGGCATGGCTGGAATGGCTATTTCATGTTCTTCTCGCCTGACTGGTGTTTTAATAGAGGGTGGAGAAGCATGAGAAATCTTGTAAATAGTCAGGGCTATTTACAAGCTTTTCGGTTTTTCCGGTTCTGTTCAAAAGTCCGTCAAAAACCACATAAAGTCATAAACCTCCAACATCCACCAATCCATAGCACAACAGGTAGGTTTTTTATTTTTATGTGGGGTGATGGGGGTTTATTTATATGTGGAAATTTTTTCTTATACAACCTATTTGTACACTCATGTGCTAGTGTACCATTTGTATAAATTGGTCCATAAATGGCACAAGACAAACCTCGCCAAGTACACTTAGGTGGTTTTTTTCAAATATGTTTGTTGGTTTCGTTAACCACACTTCACCTCTATATATAAAGTTAATTTATACGTAGTACTACGTTATCAATAAAAGTAATATATTTAAGGGATTTTATTCTATTGTATGAAGTTTTGTTGTTCTAAATTCTAGATTTTGTCATTGCTTTGTACAATTGTACATAAAATAATATTCTGTGGAATCTATATTGACTTCAGGATATACTTTCCCTAAACCTATCCTAGTTTAGGGAGTTCAAGATGCAAGATGGTTTTTATATACTTCTACTCGATGCTTTATTATGTCTTAGAAGTTAGAACATAAAACGAGATCATATTTATAGTATGAAGGGAGTATAAAGGAAGCAGGTTCTTTTTTGTGTTATAAATATTCGTGTTTGTGTTTATGTGTGTTCAACATGAAAGATGGTTTTTCTGTACTTCTACAGTTCTACTAGATTGCACCAAAAAGACTTTATTTCTAGCTAAAATATAGTATTACGGAGTAGCATTTCTACAATATATGTGCAACAAAAGTTAACATTTCTAAAGTCAATGCTAGCTATCTATTTAATTTTTTTGGTTAAAACTATAAAATTTTGATTAAATTCACCCAAAAATGCTCTAATATGAAACAAGAATCAATTTAAAATCTAAAAGAAAGTGTGCAATAAAATAAACTATTGAAGATAATGTTATATAGTAGCGAGAAAATCAAATAAAACATATAGGGTGAGAGAGAAATCTAATTTAGTAAATAACATAGTAATTCATACAGTGTATTTAATTTGTTCAATTTCATATTTCAAGGATGCATATGTCAAATTAGTCGTGTATGTGCTAAAAGATGGTGAACTGCCTTTGTTGGTTCCTCTTAATAAGGCTAATTTTTGGATTCAAGTGTTTAATTTACCTATCAGTTTTTTTACTTTGAAATATGCAAAAATAAAGGGGGATTCAATGACTAAATTAATAAATGTTGAGGAACGACATTTTGGGGATATTTTGGAGGCCATTATGCAGTTGAAAGTTTGTCTGGACATAAATAGGCCTTTGCACAAGAAACTAAAATTAGGTAAGGATGAGAACGAATGTTTTTTGGGTAGACTTTGGATATGAGAAGCTACTAAATTTCTGCTTTGTGCGTTGTCTTATTAGTCATACAGATCGATTTTATCCCTTGGAATATAATAAGGGAGCTAGGGAAGTGGTCAAACTTTACGGTCCATGGCTGGGAGCAGTGAGTATTAGAGGTGCAGGAACAAGAGGAAACCAGTGGTTGGTTTAGACATGTATACAAGATGGGAGGGGGTAGATAGGAGGGAGGGGTCTGTGCATTCTCCAGCGGAAGATCTGGTGGGGGGTTTTCTGGTGGAAGATTCAGCAATGGTCCTAGTGCAAGGGGAAGTTTCCAAGAGTTCAGGGGTGGAGAGCCAAAGAGGAGACGAGTGTTGGAGCTTCATGAGCAGGAAGGACAAGTTGCGGATGCAATGGTGGTTGAAGGAACAAAAAATATGGAGGAGGCGAGTCTAGCCTTCTAGACTCGCCCACTATCTACTTTTATAGTAAATTTTGTCGTCCTTTTAGGTTTCTGTGTTGGTAAGGATTGTAGGTTACTTTTCTGTTCGGTTTGTTTTGCCCAGGGTGACTTGTTTTTTGTTTTCTTTGTGGTTATGTGTCAGAGTCAGGAGAGAAAGTGTGACAAGGAATCTGAGTCGATCATAGTTGCCTTACAATTGCTCATGTGGGAATTAGCGAATCAGGCTGTTTCTAAGAGTGGTTCAAGGGCGTATGATCGAACTGCGGTTTCTGGTCTAGCTAGCTTGTCTATTTTCTTCGAACTGGTTGTTACTTGTGGGTTTTTGGTATTCTAAATAAGTCGATTTCGTTCAAAAAAAGAATGCATATGTTAAAAAATAAGATACTCTCAATAACTTATAAAACTGATGTGAGTTTTCTCGCACTTTAAAAGATTGTAGAATAGCGGTGAAAGTACGAGTATCGTCTCCACAGGGACGGACAAAAGGGAATCAAGGATTAATTAAATTCAGCGATAAAGAATAAATAAAATAAATGCGGTCGTGCGAGATTTGGTTGCTTGAGAAAACTAAAATTGCAAATAAACGATTAAAAGTAAATGATTGGGTTCTTCTTAATTAACAACGAAGGGAACAGAGATTGATTCCGGGGTAATCAGATCTGGCAGATCAGGCTTAATTACATGAATTTAATTTAATTGAGCCTAGCTAATCAATACTAAGTTCTTACCGCTCTCGCGACGTAGAGTACAATAATTTAGGGGACCAGGCTGATCTCTCATGCGACAGGATCCTAAATTATTGCCAAGACGAACGAGCTTACGGCCCCTTAATCGCTACTAATCTCTTAGCGAACGATTAAGTGTGTGTGAATATGTCCTAGAACAAATTAGATCTCTCTTAATTTATTCTATAAGCAATTGTAATTCTAGTGGCCATTCTAGGTTACAAAAGATATCAATTAAATTATTCAAACACAAATTAAATGGCATTCATGCAATTTACACCATCAAGAACCTAACCATACATCATGATTAACCCCTTCATCAACCCCAAATCCCTAATTAAAACTACTCACAACTCATAATTGAAGAATCAATAGAATTGCGAAGAATAGAATTAATTGTCATTAATTAAAAAGATGGAACTTACAAATAATCCAAGGGAATTGAAGAACAAGATGTAAAAGTAGAAGAAATTTCGTCCCTAGGGCTCTCTCTAAGCCCCCTTTAATTAGGGTTAGAGAGGTGTTATTTATAGGAAACAAAGCAATTCGGGTTGAATTAGGAAACAAGGAAATTCGCAGGAAACAAAAACGGGGCACGCACGGCTTGGGTAAAACGTCCGAATTTGACTTTACTTCCTTCTTGAAAGTTGTAGATAATGAAGTCCTCTATCCACACCAATTTTCCGAATTGGATTTGAATCATCCAATCAACAGATATGAATAAAATGGTGGAATGTCTCATTCTGAAATCGCAACGGGGATCATCTGACTTCGTCGTCTGTTTTCACATTCTTCCTATCAGATTCTCGCAAAGGTGTCTTCGCATGATTTGTAGCCCTTGAAGTTGGCTTTCATATGGAACTTGAAACGTGTACAATGGATGTCTCTACAAGGAGATATGCTTGAATGATTAAAAGAAGGTCATCCTGATCGTCATTTTCAAGCTCTATTTGTCTTCTTTTGATCCCGTAGCCAATCCTAGAGCTCTTTTGTCTTCAACTCTTCATCGTAAACCTCCCGGTGACCTCCAAAGCTCTCAAATCAATCTCTAATATTTCTCAACTCGTCCCGATTGCTTCTCAAGCGCCGGTGTTGGTGTCTAAAATCCTGATTTTGACTCCAAATGACACAAAACTCGAACCAACGCCCGGTAAACATAACTTGAGCTAAAATTGAGACTTGCAACACCTTAAAGCTAGGAACACTATCAAAATGCAACCCCAACACGCATCAAATGCGTGTTGTAATATGTACTTATCAGAATTCCCCCACACTTAAGCTTTTGCTTGTCCTCAAGCAAACAGAACAACGAGACTTACGATAATCACCACACAGAATCAAAACAGTTAGCAGGCACAAGTAGCTAAAGGAATATTCACAGAACAGACAATCCAAACCTAGAAAATTCTTCCCTAAACTACATCTTTGTACTCAAGCTAACTATTTGACAAAATTATTCACAACATCCTTAAAGTAATGACAGCATACACAAATAAACTAGCTATTGATCAGAAGGACTTGTGAAGGTGATGGTGAATGGTGGATGATAATAAATAGTCCCTTTCTTTTGAGAGATTGGAAAATTCTAACAAAGACTCAATGCATTCAGGAACTTCAGGACTATTCTTAGGATCAAGGAACTCAGTAGGCCACAATTTAGAAACTATCATCTAAACCTATGCAAAAAGTAGACATGGTGTACAACTAAGCTAAACCGTCGTGGCACATTGGTGCTTTGACGTATACTTGAAGTACGCGAAGGACTAATGCTAATTTTGCAATAGCCTCCAAGTTCATGAATTATGTTTAGTTTTCCTTGTCATGTTGGCACGAGAACGCTATTTCTTTCGAAAGATACCCAAGTCTCATCTTATTGTGCGAACACTTACGCTTTTTGACCGGGGCTCCCATTCTCTTTTTCGCAAGGCAAGAGGTCTAGCTATATTAATTTTTCACCTTTCGGATTCTCACTAGAGATTACCCCATTCTAATCTCGGCCTCACCAAGGAAAAATAGCAATTAGAGTTCATTTAATTTAGAAGTGAATCCATGCCTACAATGCAATCCTCGGAAATATCAAATTTCTAAAAAGTGACTGTTCTTACCCCATTTGGGGCATAGGAACAGTGCCAAAAATGGCTCCTACAAAAATTCCCTAAACTTAGCAAATTAATCCCCTAATTCCCTAAACACCAAGACTATGTCAGAAATATTCACGGGTAATGAAACAAATGCCATATGGCTATGGAGCTCAATTAATTGGGTAAACAAGGAATGGTCAGGCTCAAAATGGCTTCTCCTAAAGGATTTTTTCAAGTGGGATGGATGATTATGAATTAATTCAACGGGTGACTAATGCCTTCATCCTCTCAATAACTAGATTATAGTGCAAGCAATTTAAGCCTAAACACTTCAAAGATGTTCTACAAGCATAGTCAAGATGCTAGCCAACTCACAAAGACACAGTTTAAAGAAAAAATTTCAAAAATTTTGACATGACTTTTCTATGAATATACAACTAACACCTGCGCATGCTAACTCTAAAAATCCCATGTAACAACTACTGCCCGAATGCCTAATTCACTGAATTCCCCCACACTTAAACTTTGGCATCGCCCTCGATGACCAAAAATGCACTATGCACAAAGGGGTAAAGAGGAAAGGGTCACGCGTGCTCAACTTCAACTCAAGTCAACAATTAACACATGCGAGTAAGAGTAATAGGAACTTCCCTAAGGCGCTGGTTGGTGCAGAATTAAACTGAGTCAATGTAAACTGTGGCGCATCATCCAGAAAAGACCTGAGCTACAAAACAAACACAGAAACACAAAAAACACACAAAACAAAAACAAAAAACATGCAGAAAACAAAAGTGCAGAAATAAGCTTGGGTTGCCTCCCAAGAAGCGCTATTTTTAACGCCATTTGCCCGACGATACCTCGTAAGCTTTCAAATAGCACAGACTGTAGTGGGGCACTAATTTTCAAAGTATCCAGCTTTCTCTCAACAAATGCCCTTAGGTGGCGCAAATTCTTAAACTTTGAAACCATGTAGGAATCACATGGTCTTCAAAAAACTTATCAGCACAGAACTGGAGGATCAACCTCACATCCTCCTTGAGTGGACATAAAACATGAGTCAAAAATTTGATTACTCCAGGCTCAAAAGATGTTTTGATGCAAGGATCTGTAGCAACATCAAACTCGAACTGCAACATAGAAAAGTATTTTTCTTCCTCACAATTATACTGAAAATTCACAGCATCTCCTCCGGACTCCATATCACTCCCCATGTGAGCATCCCAACTCTCGGTAACACCGTTCTTATCAATGTCGTCTTGGAAAGTGTTGTTACTCTCCACACAAAAAGGAATATCATCATCAAGGAGTGAATCAAAGAAATCCAAATCTGAACCCACGTAAGATTGAATCGGTGCATGTGTACAAGAGGGGTAATCTTGCTTGTGGAGTGGGACTTCTTCATTATGAACACCATCTACCTCACCCCCACTCTCCTGAAACGTGTAATCATCTTTTCCCAACTCATCTTCAATACCCAAACCTACCTCAGTAGCACCATCATCATGACTGATCTTCTCCTGGCCCTCCTCAGGTGTTGAGACTAATGATAAATTAAACGGCTGGGGAGTTTCTGTATGAAGATCACAGTGATTTGTGATTTCATCACTTACAGCTTGTACCGTTTCGAACCTTTTCCTGTATTCTTGGAAAAATAATTTGACCCTATAATCTTCTTCTTCATCATCTTCAAACATAGGTGGGTCTTCAAATGCATTAGGAAGTGTATCATCCATCACACTCACACCTTCGCTGTCTGACTCAATGCCATGATCATCCTTATTGGTCTCCTCAGGTTGGGCTTCTGTGTCGTTAGGATGAGATCTCCCGGGCTCCTCAGATAGGGCATTAAACAGCCGATCCAAGTGATTTTCCATGTTCTGCATCCTTGCATTTGCTTGTTGATTATTTACCTCAGAAGCCTGTATGAATTGCTTGAGTGTTTCTTCCAGGTGAGATAGCTTCTCTGAAATTATCTCTTCCAATTCGTCATCTGAATCTTGCGGCTCATAGCTCAGCAAAGACGTAGGAGTGATTGAAACATTTGTATTTGTATGTTGTGGGGAGGACGAAGTGGGGTATGCAGTTGCCCAGTAAGGATGGTCGTATGGAGGAATGGGGCAAAGACATGAATGGTGACCACCTCCACAGAAGTTACAAATGCTATTTTTAGGAAAGCAATCAACCAATTCCTCAGGACTTTTAGTTCGAATGAGAAATTCTAGAATGGAGCCACGTTGTGCCCTGGGATATTGTGGATAAGGATAATGATTAGGAGAATGAGATTGGGAGTATTGCGTATTTGGAAGAGGGTAAGAATAGGAAGATGGAAATTTTTGTGGTGTTGAAGAGTAATATTGGCGAGTTGTGTAGAATTGAGGAGGAAGAGGAGTGTAAGGAGGGTATGACGTATTGTGTGAATATTCCATGGAGGTGACTGGGTGCATCTCATGCCTTTTAGAAAAATACCTGAAAGGTTAGTACAGAAAAATCCTACGGAAAACTAAAAAAAAATCTAACCAAAAAAAATCTCGCTGAAATTAATTAACCCTTAAA